ACACAAAATAGCCAAGCCAAACTGCTTTATCACAGAGAATCTATTTCTGAATGTACACAACCACTACCAACAAAGACTGGTAATTAAATTCAAAGTTAAGCTGGGGTTGAAGAAAGCAGTGAATATGAGAAGCCAGATGCCCACAGAGAGAATTTGGACACACATTGCTGACCTGACAATGTAGCACTGTGTCCGGCCCATGTCTCAGGAGAAAGGATGGTATCTCATGCCCCCTGGAGACCACAGCTGTGGTCTTGGCCTTCTGTCATGTGTGTTGGAAGCTGAAGCAGCCCCAGGGTCTCAGGTCAGATCTTCTGCACTCTTCTATAGCCTTCCAAGTCAGGGTTGTAACTCCAAGGTCCCATGGATATGACCCAAAGAGGACATGGGGATGAAGTTTTGAGGGTACCTCCTGGGATGTTGGGAAGCCCTCCTCAGTGTCCTAGTTATCTCCATGGATCATGCCTATGTGGTTCAACCTGGTTCCCCTCTTTTTGTCTATCAGGTTGTCTGCTTGTCATCAACGTCCCTAAGGGAGGCCCTGTCAGCTACTGTAGTGGGTCAACAGAACACAGGGAAATGAGGTGGTAGCAGGTCCCCAGGGGCAGGACACAGACCTGTGGTCACCCTGACTGTTTTGCTCTTAGAACTTAGCAGTGTTCATAGAAACTGAGTTCTGGGAAACCAAGAGAGCTGAACAATCTTACTACTGGCATTTAGAATCCTCCAGGGATTTAAGGAGGCATTTAGGAATAGATTATTGTCCCCTCACTGGAAGTAAAGTCTTTTATTTGTTCTACAAAAGAATCTTTCATGACCAAGGGGGAATCCACATGTCAAGAAGAGTTGAAATGCAAGCAAGGAGGTTGGTGTGGTTAGGGATGAAAGTGAGGCTATGTGTGGTCACTGGCTGCCCCCCTGATTTCTAGATGGCAGCCTTATGTAGGTGCCAGAGCCACAGAGTGGAGAGGGACAGCATCAAGCTGCAGACAGAGAGACTGTGCAGATTCCTCTGCTACAGACCTGCTAGTGGGTAGCAGGAAACTAGCTCCAGACCCAGCGTTGCTGATCCAGGCTGGTGGGACCAGGGTGTGGGTGTTGTGTTGCGCGTGATAGAACCAAGCTCACCACTCTATGAGCATCGGCCCTGGCGGTGAGTGGGACAGCCTCTGAGAGAGACAGGGGTGGAGGGTGAAGGCTGGATTTCCACCAAATGCTCCTGGCCTTGTGAAAGCTCTTCAATGATCGTCCTCTTCTCCATGGGAGATATCCTGTCCACTGGAAATGGATTCTTAGCCATCTAAATTTAGACACTCCTCAGCATCCCATAGTTGGGCAAAGTCTAAAATGCTAGGCATATAGAAAGGATCTCAGTGTGACCTTGGGAAGCACCACAGTTCTTGGGGGAGAAAGGTAGGGCTTCCCTCACCTCTGGCCCTGGGAGGAAGGAGAGGAGTGTCCCGTGCTGCCCTAGGGAATGAGGAAGGAACATTGGCAGCGAGCGCTGCCTCACTCTCTGCCTGAAGAAGGTTTTACCCTCCTCACCTTATCCCCCTAAAAATCCCTTTCCCTTTTTGAAATCTCTCCTCTCTGAGCATTTTTCCCGACTCCCCTAGCCAGTGCGCCTCTTTCCTCCACACCCTCATCTTATCTTTGCTATAACCACAGCACATCTCAGTTAAGCTATAATGCATATGTATTCATGAGTGTGTAATTATTTATGTATCTAGGGGTCTACCTTCCGTAATAGACAATGACTTGCTTGAAGGTAAGAACTAAAGATTTCAATATGTGTATGTCTAGGGCCAAGGGCCAATAGCCCTGTCCTGTGAAAAGAAGTCCCCACCAGCAGACACAGCCCAGAAGCTCCCATCTTTCTCCAATGTTACTCTTCCCAGTCGTGGGGCATGAGTGAGGGGGAGGGAGATAGTTGGATAGAAGGGGTTCTTCCAACCCCCAGGGACTGCCCACAGGCTATACTCTCATGGTGATATGGTCCCAGGGTGTCAGCTGACTTAGACATGATGTCTCAACAGGTGCCCTGGGTTCTTGGCTGGGTCACACGGAGCCTCCCTGGGTCAGTGTAGGCCTAGTTCATCACTACAGTATTCAATTCCCTGACTCCCTGAATCAAGACATTTCCCTGAATCCCTGCTGCCTGTCCTGGAGGGGAGAGATGTATGAATTTGGTAGGAAAGTGGATTATCTAACTAATAGCCTTCAGCAGTAGCTGAGGTCAGGTGAGGGGCAGGAAGGCAAGAACGTGATTTTTGTGTCACAAATCAGAGAAACAGTAGGATATTATGTTCCTAACTGAGGGATTTCTCCCATCTCCTGAACCAAGCCATGTCCAAAAAAGTGATTCTTAAGCCGGACTTTATAAAACATTTCAAAGTGCCTCATGAGCTTAAGAAACATATAATCAAATTATAGTCTTTTCCATCCTTTGGGAAAGTTAGGTATGCCACTCAGCCAATAAGTGAAAAGGATTAAAAAGGGAGGCAAAGTGGATCATATTTGAGAGTGGCCCCCCACATCCTCCATGAGAGCTGGGGACCGCAGCCCCTACATCCCATCAGAGAGTCAAAGAATAATAACCCAGGACTTTCTCCATAGAGATAGTTTCTTCCCAGATGGTTAATGCTATCTCTGTCCATGTCTTTTTTTCTGTGAGATAATGGATGACAAAGCAGATCATTAAGCACATTCTGAGAAAGGCCTTCCTTTGTGTACCCCTCTGAGCCTGGACACACTTGGCATTGGATATACTTAGAGAAATGTGTTGTGAACATGAGAGAGGGGGTGGGGAAGTGGTGCATATTCACAGAGAGTTGGTACTGGAATAGTACAGCAGGTTGGCATGGTCCCTAAAGGTATCAGGTCCTAATCCTCAAATCCTGTTGTTACCTGACATGAAAGTCATCCATTAAATTAAGATCCATTAAATTAAGGATCTTGATCAGATGAGATTGGGCACATTCAGGGTGGTATGACTGTAGATAAGAGACAGTTGTGGTCTCCCTGCCCAGCCCTCACTGCATTCATGGCGGCCAGGACCTAGGTCTCAGTGGGCAGGTCTGTCCCCATGTGGCAGCTTCTGAGTATTTATAGTTTACTTTTTTGGTTTCCAGAACCACCACTTACCAACAGAGGGTTCTGAGGTGGAGTCAGAACCGCAGGTCAACAAGGGCCCGGATGTGTGAGGGAAGGAGGCTGCTCTCTGAAGGCACTGATGTAAGGCCTGTGCAGGGAGTGAGGGGACCTGGGGGAGGGGAATTCAGAGCAGGAGCTGCACAAACACCCTGCAGTTCCATTCGGGGACCAAGAGGAGGCGCACTGGAGGAGCCCAGATAAGGAGGCAGGGAGCCAGTGATAGGAAGAGGGATGCCATGTCAGAGCTGTTGGCCCCTCCCCTGTCCCCAACAAGGTCCCAGACCCTCAGCAGCCCCAGGGCAGGAGTCACAGATGGTGAGGTTTGTGCCCCAAGAGGTGACAGGAGGACGGGGCCTGTGGGCCTGAGGGCCTGACAGCATCTTGGTCGTTGACAGTGAGGGTGACTTCTGTCCAGACCGGCTGCCCCTGACTAGGCAGCCATCATGCCCAGGGGGCCGCGGGAGTGAGGAGGAGCCCCGGGAGCTCTTTCTGGTTTGTGCTGAGGTCAGGCTCCAGCAGTGTTGATACGCTGGCTGGCCCTGCAGGGAATGTTGACCCGCTCTCCTGCGACACAGTGTATAGTGTCCCCACTGGCATGGAGGGGGAAGCCAACATGGACATCGCAAACATGAACAGCAAGCAGGTGGCTCATTCAGTTGGATATATTTCTGATCAGAAAACAATACATGCTAACAGCTTCATCTTGGGGGAAACATCTGACTTTAATGCAAACAACCGACGACGAAACTGGAGTCCTCCTTCCTCAGCAGTCAGAGCAGCAGGAGGAAACAGAGCGAAGCTCCCCAGGTCCCTGACGTGCCTCCTGGTGCCTCTGCAGCGCAGACCGGGTAGGGATGCCCTATCGTCAGCTCAGGCTGCCGCACCCAAATCCCAGAGGCTGGGAGGCTTCCGCCACAGAAATGTATTTCCTCGGCGTCCAGGAGGTGGGAAAGCCCAAGACCCAGGTCCAGGAGGATTCGCCTTCTGGTGATGGTCCTCTTCCTGGTTATCAAAAGGCCACCTTCTCAACGTGTCCTTGCAGCTTGCATGTAGGAGGAAAGTGAACTCTACAATATCTCTTCTTAAAGGGACATTAATCCCATCAGCACAGGGACCCACCTTATAACCTCATTTAACCTAAATTATAGGCCTTATCTCCAAAAACAGCCACACTGGGAGCTAGAGCTGCAACATGTAAATTGGGGGGGATTCAGGATTCAGTCCATAGGAGATGGGCGGGACTCGGTTTCCAGTCACACACCCGAACACTGACTGGGATTTCCCCCACCAGTTAGCGCACAGGTGTCTCTCTGGGTGTTCCCTGTCATACCCAGAGAATTCGTTCAAGCGCTAGGTGCTTCCCTGTTGGTGATGGGCCACTATCACTCCATTACGTTCCAGTATTTTCAAGATCCGGGTGATCTCTTTGGCTTATTGTGGGGCTTGTCTGCCATCTACTGGCGGTTTTGTGATATAGCAACTTACAGGAGTGTAGAGGCTGAGTCCAGGCGAAGCGGGACTGAGACTTTCCACCCATTTTCATGAAGCTGACATTAGGACATCCGTCACTAGGCCAGAGTCTGTACGAGGCACAAAATGATTGCTCTCCTCTCAATAAATCAGGCACCCGGGAACCAGGTTAGCAGCTAACAACTAACCAGGAATGAGAAAATACATCGGTCACAAGACTGTTAAGGGTTCTGTGATCCGTACACGATGCCAAAGATGTAGTTTTGGAAAAGAGAGGTGGGCCAGGGGGGACCCTGCAGGCATAACGGCAAGGGGTAGGGGGGATGCAGAGGGCTCCTGGTCTAGATCTGTCACTCCAGCCTCGTTCCTCCCATCAGATACCCTGCCCGAGCAGCCCTGAGAACCGCAAGAAGTGCACCAGCGAGGGAACATCTGCATCAACAGCTGGTGAGGCTTGCGTTCTGGCTGTAACCCCATGAGAGACTGCGTGTCATCTTATTTAGCCCATGACTGACCAATTGCACTCTCTGTCATGGTGAAGCTGTGTATTTGTGCTGTCCCGTAGGGGAGCCATTAGCCCCATGGGGCTATTGAGCACTTGAAACGTACCTTGTACGAGTAAGTAACTGAGTTTTCATTTCAATTAATTCCAATTTAAGTTTATTACATAGCTGTATGTAGCTGATATTTACTGTATGAGCAGTGTCATTTCCGCCTGTAATAACCAGCGCTGTCATCAGGACAACCAGATTATCATTGTCGAGCATGGAGCCTGTCCCAAAACCACTGCACCAAGATACAGGGTGGGATATGGTTGTGATCAAAGTGGACGAAACACCTGGTGGATCTTTGGAATCTTCCCTGCTTCCAGGCAGATGACAGAGACCCTCTTTCTTGGAGACACTAAGAGGGAAGTTACCAGCAGTGTCACCACTAGAATAGGAAATGGACACAATACACAATGTGCCCTGGTATTGAAGATGTCCCACCCCATGGTCTTCCCAGCAAAGTCATGCTGGTGATCAAAGGGGACTGGGAGGGCCTCACTCACCGAGCAGTGAGCTCAATCTCAGTCCCGTAGAATGTGTGCACCCTTCACACACACCGCCCCCCCATTCCCTTTCTCAGCTCCGGCCAGAGCCCAGGACCAGAGCCTTGTGTCCACAATCCGGACTGCACCTGCCTGACATGGACCTGCCCACAGGCTATGACCAAGTACTACTAAGGGCTTAAGTAGCAGAGGGTGCACTTTGGGGAACATGCAAAGCAATGAGGGGTGCGGGTCTGGGCATCCACCTTCTGAGCAGAGAACACAACCCATCTCATGGCTGTGAACCAGACCAAGGGGCTTGATGAAAAATGTCACAAATGTTACCTTTCCAGTGAGAAAACCCTAGAAGTCTCCTCACTCTTACAGGACTGGTTTGGTTTATACTAGAGAAGAAAAAAAATGTTCTTTTTAAATAAACACTTAATGGTTTGTTAGGAATCTCCTGAGGAGATAATGATTTTAAACACTCTCACCCCCCTCGGATAGCTTCAAGATGCCGAGCGGGCAGAGAGGAAGGGAAAGTCATTGTTGATCCTCAGATATTATTCCTGCCTTCCCTAAGGGCTGAGAGGACTTACAAGAGAAAGTTCTTGACATTTCCCCTTTTCCATGACCCCTTTCTTGCTTCCACTCCCCAAATATCTTCTTTCCCTGACATATGTCTAAACTTCACATCAGATTTAAAAGGTTTTGAATACAAAGACTTATTGACTCCTGTCAAGAAAAAGTTTTCAAAATAAAACTGGCAGCTTGGACTTAAAACTCTCCCGTGCCTCCCCAGTTTGGGTAACAGAGCCAGCTAAAAGCCCCCCAACTCTACAGACTGCAACCCCTGGAATGAGAAGCCTTCTGTCTCTGACCCAGCTTCCAGAAAAGTCCACTGCAGTCATGGAAATGCTTTTTGTGAGTCTTCCCATATGAAAGAACTGTTCAGCTGTGAGGTGTACAGTTAGCTGACAGCCTCCAGCTGTGGCCCCTCGGGACCTGTCACAACATTGGAATCAAATCCACAGTCTTCCCAGACAGCTCCCAGCTAGTTGACTGAGCATGACTAGTTGACTAAGGTCTGGCCAGTTCTGCTCAGTGGTGGTGAGGGGGCCCTTCCACTGGGCCGGGGAGTTTCCCATTGGGTTACTGAGACCGTCGAATCTCATAACTGGGTTGACTGAGACTGTCGAATATAACCTTCTCATAATATACTCATAAGAAGTCCCTGGGGTTCTCCCTATCCAGCTCTGCTGCCTCCTTCTGTATCTTTTGTAGGTGTTACCTTCTCATGAACCTCTTACCCCCTCAACTCCATCCTACCACCGGCTTCCTAGGGGATCCAAATATATGGTTGACACCAGGAAGGACCTGAGAAGGCAGGGAATAAGGATGGAGTTGGGGACAGGATCACTTGGTACCCAGAAGGTCATCAGGACCCCCACCCATGGCCCTGGGGTCTCAATTGCTAAAATTGCTGAAAGTTACTTGAGAGAATGTATGTATGGAGGGAATACGCTGGTGGATGCAATGGGTCAGGGGTCTGGGAAGGAAGGGAAAGGCATTCGAGGACAGTGACTCCAGCAGCTGGTTGTCAGGTGGCATTGGCCCAAAAGGACCTGAAGACAGTTCAACAGTTGAAAAGCAGATGTGAAGGTCAGAGGACATCCTTAGCAGTTGAGCAACAGACCTTTTTTCTCATTGTGGGAAAGCAGAGAAGGCTGAAGACCAAACTGAGGACTGAAAAACCTGAAAAAGATGGAATGTTCAACAGAGACAAGCCTGTCATGTCATGGTCAGAGCCCTTCTGGGAAAACTTGGGAACCTGGCACACAGATGGGGAAAACTGGTAGAGGGTACACAATGTTGTATGGTGGAAACTAATAAAATATTGTATGTCAATGACACCTCAATAAAAAAAAAAAACAAAAGAGAAAGTGGTCTACTCAACTCATTATTCCTTAGAAACATGCCATATTTTTTTCAGTTTCCACTTGTTTGCTGACACGTCCTGTCATCTGGCATTGGGATCTGACAAGAGAAAAGTTACCCAGTCAGTCCATGCTAGGAGGCCAAGTCTGCACCATCGCTAGGTGATGGAATGAGAGCTATCCTTGCACTGTATCCAATATTCAGTTAAACAATATTAATTTTAAAAGTTTATTTATGTATTTATGTATTTAGAGAGCAAGTGGGAGAGGGGCAGAGAGCCAAGGAGAGAGAGGGAGAATCCCAAGTAGGCTCAATGCTGTCAGCACAGAGCCTGACACGGGGCTCAAACTCACAAACTGTGAGATGGTGACCTGAGCAGAAGTTGGACACTTCACCGACTGAGCCATCCAAGCGCCACCAAATAATATTAATTTTATACTGCCTCTTCTAATGTCATCTATTACAATATTAAAACTCCTCATATCACCATGTTACCTTTTAAAAATTATTGAGAAATGGCACTTTTAGAAAATATATCATGGAGAGTTACTGTGCCACTTGGTGTCACAATAGTCTCCTGCCTGCGCATCCATCTGAAATCCCAATTGTTTATATTTTCCTTTAAATTCGACAACTTTTTAATGATATCCTAAAAATTGTCTAAGACTCAGCTTAATTGCTACCTCCTTCATTAGTCCTTCTTTGATTCCTCTGGTCATGTCTTCCTCAGAGGTCCCAAGGACTTCCCAAAAGAACCTTTGAGCTATATTTGCATAATCATTGTTTGTATACATATTTCACCTTCTCTTCAACACTGTGAACTTCTAGAAAGCAGGGATCCTAGATTCCACAACCACAGTTCCCCCAATACACAGGGACTTCCGTTCTTACTGCTGTTCTTATATCTGATCAAAGAAGAAAATGGAGTCATCCCTCTGGGGGGAATGAATCACCGTCCGTGAAAAGATCAGTCAACAAGGGTCAGTGAACAAGTCACTGGTCTCTTCAAACTCTGAGGCCATAAACTTTGCATGGAAGGGTCAGAGGAATCAAAGGGCAGATGGGTGAGCACCCCTTCAAGACCAAGGAGCCACCCTTTGGGGACAGCGTGGAAAACTTCAGGGCTGTGGTTGGGAGTGGCGTATGTGAGGAGAACAGGAACAGACACAATGGCCAGGGGTTCCAGAATGGTTGGAATAAGAAGATAGGTTCCTCAGAGCATTTGGGCAGATAGGAGGTTGAGGGCGGACGTCAGGGAGGACTGTGCGTGAGGAGCAGAGGCCTCAGGGACCCAGAGGGGAGCATAGATGAAAAATAGCAAGGTGAGAATGGAGTCCCCTCTGACCTACCCTCCTTCAGGGATGTCCCTTGGCCACTAACTACTAGGACATAGCCCAGCAGCACTCAGACAGGAGGAAGGTGATCTACAGCACCTTCTGTGGCAGGAGAGGGGATGGCGGTGATGTAGGTGGTGACACCGTGTCCCCCGGCCCCCACTCCCCACTGGCACTGGTCGCGCCTGCTCTTGGGGCCGCTGAGTTGGGACCTCGTATGACCCAACGGCTGGACTCTCTGATAGTTTAAATTATGAGGCGATGTAATTCCATTTGCATAGTCATTCCCAGCAGGTACAGTTATGTGAACTGATATATAACAGTAGAGAAAGACACGATTTTTCTAGGATGATAATTGCCTTTTTAAATGATGATAATTGCCTTTTTAAAACAAGTTAATATTCTCATAATATCCCTTCTCTTTTCTGTTGGTTGGTCAAGCCAGACTATTCTAGTCATACTTTTAAATAAAGAATCAAATCTTGGGTTCCATTCTTGGGTTAACAGTACTTCCGGCTTCAATTTTTTTTTCTGATTTTTTTTCACTGTTACAATTAGGTTTTTTGTTTTGTTTTGTTTTGTTTTGTTTTGGCAAGGGCTGACTGATTTGTTGATTTTCTAACTATTTTAATTACTTGGTTAGGTGTTCCAAGGAGGCCCTTTTTTTTTTTTTTTTTTTAAAGATCTGGATTAATGCTACATATTTTACACTCACTGCGTTCCCTGCATCCTGTATGGTCACTAGTTTTATCTCTGGTATATTCATCATCTCCAGATGGTTATTTAACGTCTCATTCTTTTTATTTGTGACGACGGAGTTATTGAGTATGCATTTTCCTTGTTTGTCTGCATTTTTTTTTCTTGCCCTTGAACTTGCCAGTGCACGATGCTCACATCTGAAACAAGCAAACCAGCATAACCAGATACCCCCGGGGGCCACCTGCAGGAATTCTCAGGGGGGACTCTCAGTAAGAGGTAAGGGGCTTTTCCTGGGCTCCCCAGGGTTAGATCCTTTTGAGCTAGAATACAAGAAAGTGCTTTTTTATCCACCTTCTTCAAATAAAGCCCTCAGAAAACCCCATCAAAGTTCCTGAACTATCTGCAATTGTGAATTTAAAGGACTAGATCTCCTCTCAGGGCCTGTAAATTACTTAGCCTTCAATACACATTAGAATCCTTTCCCCCCCCCCTTCTTACCCCCATGGTTTTCTGTTAGGTTTCTCAAGATTCACATATGAGTGAAAACAATTGGTATCTGTTTTCCTCTTATTTCACTTAGCATAATACCCTCCAGTTCCATCCACATTGCTGCAATGCAAAGATTTCATTCTTTCTCATTGCCAAGTAGTATTCCATTGTATGGATAAACTACATCTTCTTTATCCATTCATCAGTTGATGGACATTTAGACTCTTTCCATGATTTGGCTCTTGTTGAAAGCGCTGCTATGAACATAGGGGCCCATGTGCCCTTATGCATCAGCACTCCTGTATCCCTGCACTGGGTGTTTTATGGAAGCCAATTTGACTGTAAATTATATTTTTTAAAAAAGAATCATGTCATGGGCTTCTTCAAAAAGATCAGTGCCCTGATCCCACCAGAGAACCCCAGAATCAGATCTCATGGGGGTGGGGGGACACTCTCAGATTTGCCGTCACTTGCAACCAATGAGTCTTAGGAGCTTCCAAGCCAGGCTATCAGAAGTTGGTTCAGGAGCTCTAACTGCTGGAGAAATCTCTCCCCACACCTGGACTGAGGTGGCAGCCGGAGCTGGCACGGGTCTTTCTCCCCCCATCCAGGGAAAAGACAGCCCCAGGGGACCCACTGGATGATGAGGAAGAACAGTGGCGAGGAGGCTCTCAGCCAAGTGTTAGCATCTGTCCGTCCTGCGGCTGGGGCTCCGCTTGATCGGACTACATGCTACACATGACAAATTGGCTAGGACACACGGTTTTCCAACTCTGATTCTTTTGGGAAAGCTTTTCTATCAAAAACAAAATTACTTTGTTGGCCTTTTCCCGTGCCTTTTCCTTAGGAGTTCTCACAACCTGAGGGTTGTTTCTCCCTGTCAAACATTCGAGGTTGTCAGTGTGGCTGTTAAATGGCACTGCTGTCTGAATTATGGAAATTAAGTTATCTGCTTTCTGCTTGGTCTCTTTCCCTAATTCTGTAAGTCTGTTCCTTGTTCCCTTGATTCAGCGGTTAACGACTTCCAGTGTGTGTCTGAGGTTCTAATTGGATCATGTCCTTCGAGTACTGAGAAACTATTCTTTAAAGCTTTAAGGTAGAAGAGGTGAGAATGTAAATGCCCCGAGCTAGCCTGGATCTTGGACAAATTGCCCCTCTCCCCGTTCATCTCTTCCTCCTCCAGGCAAGTGGGTAGGTGGGAGCCTATGGGGCAGTGAGGATATGAGGAGGAGGATCCTCTGAGCTTCCTGCTCCCACCTTCCTCTACTATAAATCACACCACCCCTGCACCTGGAAGAGCTGCTGTGACCTCTCTTCCTTTCTCGCTTGCTTGATTTCCCCCACCAGCCTTTCATCCTTTCTTCTCCTCCTTCCCCGTTGTGTTTTGTTTCTTGCTCTATTATACTTAGCTGGAAAACCCAAGCTGTGCCATCCAGCTGCTCGTTTGGGCCATCACAAGGGCCAAGGTGAAATCTCTCAGGGTTTTTATACACACACACACACACACACACACACACACACACACACACACATATGTGATCTCTGATCAGAGTTCTGGGTTCACAGATAACAGCAGGAGAAATGCAGTCATTTTCTTCCCAATTTGGCCAGTCCAAGAGCATTTCAGAGAGATTTCCAGGAAGAAGGAATTTGTCAGGAATGACGGCTTGAGCACTTACTACAAGATAACCCCTGTGTCTGTGTTCTTGCCTTAACTCAGACCCTCCCCTGCCAGGCCCTAGTGCCTCCACCTCCATCAATCTGATGATTGAAAGGAGCCTTGCTTCCTCTTCTCACAAACTCTGTCTATCACCCCAGTATTACCCAATCCAGCCCCTGGGCTCTCAGTCTGGTTTCAGCATCCACATCTCCAGCATATCCCCACTACCACTTACAATCACATAACAAGTGCCTATAAGTGACCTGACCACATTGGGGGAGGGGAGTCCTTCTTCTCCTTGCCACGTGGATGGGCATATCTTTCCCGAAGGAGTTACTCTATTTGGGTGTGGGGTTCTGATGGGGAAAAACAAAGAAAGACAGCCAGTCATTCTCCTCCAATATACATCTGGTCTGTTACGAGAGAGTGATCAAATCATCTGTTATGTTCAATGACAAATATCATTTACCACCCCTTGCCCCCATGAGGCTGTGTCTTCGGGTCTTCTCAAACTCTTCAAGCTCAGCCCACAGTTATCCAAACTGATCAACAGGACAAGGCAGATTACATAAACTCCCCATTTTTCTACCATCGTATGGGACCACTCTAGGGAACGTGGGCTGGTTTGGGTCACACAAGCATCTTTGCCCCCACTTTTCCCATAGCAGCACCTGATGGTTTTCTTCTAGTCAACAGATCTCTCCTGACTCCCAGCCCTTGTCTTCGGATAATGGTACTGAGTCCATCCCCTGCTCGCAGGATAAGACTGTGACCCACACCAGATCCATGAAAGCCTTTCATTTCCCAGCCATTGACTGGTTCTGGGATCAAGCCACATTTGAAATCATACCCTTGAACTCTCTGCCACATGAACCTATAGATTCCCTCTTTACTTTAGCAGCTCTGGGTCAGGTTTGCTGTCACTTGCGACCAGAAGAACACTGACGATTCATCAGAGCCTGGTGACTGAGAGAGTGTGCCCTCTGAGGCCAGCTGCCAGGAGCGCTGGCCTCAGCTCTGGGAGCAGCTGCTCTGACTGGAAGCCTCTGGGAAGAGAAGGGGCATCTAGGAGACTGGGCGGGGTCAGATGTGTCAAGGCAAGTTGGGTCAACCAATGGCCACCAGAGTGTGCCTCCAAACCCACCAAGGGACCCCAATCTCCAGGTCTCTGCTCTGCCCGCCTTCCAATCTGGCCCTGCTTTGTGTTTCTTCTTCCTCCATTGTAATAAATTCAGTCAGGTAGCCATGTGTGGCATGTTCCAAGTCTAGTCCAGACTCACCCCAGCTCGTTCTCATCAACCCCCAAGGTTCTGCCATCTTTTTCCCTCCCCCTTTTCCTTCTTTCTTCATAGCCCATGAGAGTGATGGTCAGCCAATGGCCATTTCCAAAAGCCCAGGATCCCATAGATGCCCCCCCTCAAGCCCTCACCTTAACAATGGGGGCCAAGGTTCCCCAACACATCTCAGTTCTCAACTCCAGTGATGCATAGAATCATTAGAAAGGAGTGGATGAAAAACCAGCCTGGGCCCATCCACAGCTCCTCTTATTGAATTGCTCCTGGGCTGTACCCAGGCATCAGCAGCTTGCAAAGGTCCCCAGATGGCTCAAAGGTGCAGCTATACAGCGTGGATCTGTTTCCCTGGGGAAGCTCTTGAACGTGGCTCTTTTTGTGCCTGTTTGTTCAATTTAATGGCAAGATCAGACACAAACACAAAGAGCCTCACAAGGCATTGTAGACTACGTCACCCTTTTTAGTGGTTCCCAGACCGCATGGATTAATCTCAAAGGCTTTGTGAGATTTGACCCCTGCCTTCCTCTCCATCGTCCTTTGGGACCACTACTCTCTCACACACTTGCAAGCCAGCCCCACTGGCTTCCTCCTGCTCTGTCTGGGGACTTCCCCTCACATGCCTGACTCAGGCTCATCATTCAGTTCTTGGAATAAATGTCCCTTCTTCAGAGGCCCCATCCCTGGCTGAAGTAGGTCTCTTCTCCAGTCATGCCATTGCATTGTCTTGTTTCAAAGTATAGCACTTAGCGCATCAAAGTTATCTTGTTTTTCTCTGTATTTATTGCCCATCTCCCCCCTAGACACAACACACAACCCATAATATAAGCCCCAAGAAGACAATAATTCTTGCTTTTCTTTTGCCTCTATATCCCCAGCAGTTAGTGCCTGAGAGCACGCTCATCAAATACATACGAAGTGGAAGGAAGCATTTCCCTCAGTAGGAAACACAAATAAAGAGCAGCAGACATCAATTTCCACCACACAGTGGCAGCACCCGCCCAGTCAAAGAAGCATCTACTTCACTAAGACTACGCGGTCTGGAGAAATTGTCAGCCATCAGGCACTTCTGGCTTTCCATCCTTCCAGATCTGTCTAAACATCCTACGGTCAGTGAAGAAGACCTGCTGTCAAATCACTGACAAGGCGTTTAGGACTTTAAACTGTCCTCACTTAGCCTGAACTGTTCTATCTTTAAAATGTACACATTAATATTCTAAAATATATGACATCCTTTAAAAACTGGCTGCAGAATAATTTAAAAGGAGGGATTCCAAATGTTTCAGAAACAAAGTGCTGGGAAGACTTTTAGAGGTGAGGACAGAGACCAGTGTTCGGGGAGGAAGGGAGCTAAGGTTGGAGCTTTAGGATTTTCTAGTTTATTCATATTTACTGAGCAACTCCTAACATAATCTCAAAGCATCTGATATCAATGTCCGGCATGGGGTCCCACACAGGACTGGTGCTTCATACATGCTTATTGAACAAATGAGTATATTTGTAAAGGGGGAGTGATAAAATAGCGCTAGTCTCTGAGATCGTAAATTCAAACAGGCTTTGTAATTCATAAGATGCCATGCTATATTGTGAATTATTATTAAGAGCCAATTGTACAAATAATGAGAGGCTGAAGTAGGGTTAGAGGGTCACTGTACACCATGGGTCCCAGGGAAGGCTTGTCAGAGATGTGGAGGGCAGAATGAAGTTCCAAAGCATGCTTTTCCACCACTGCCAGCAAATCTGCACTCAGGAGGTGCCTGCCAGATAGCAGGGGCATATTTTGCCCTTACAAAGAGGGCTGATATGGTCTTATTCGGGAACAGAGGCCAGAAACCCTTTCCTCATGGTGAGGTCTTCCTCATACTGCTGAGAGTTTTTTCCTATTAAATTGGATCTAATCATATTTCTGTTGGACCTCTTCTACCCCCACCTTACACATATTAGCATCTTCAGAAGAAAGCTCTCCCTCCATTTGGAATCTTATTATTGCCTCTATAATTATTATAGTTATGACTATGACAATCATTATAAAGAAAACCATCCAAATGCAGTAAAGCAGAGGAAGGAGGGGGCCCTATGGCTCTGAGTACGGTCACAAGACCACAGATATAAAGAAGTAGCAATGGCTCTCCTCCCAGTCTCCCTCAGGGCTCCCCCAGGAAGTGGGGTGTGAGCAGCAGGAGTGAGGGTAATTATACTATGGTCAGAGAAATCCCTTTCTTCCTCCTCCCTGCTCAAGCTTTGTGCATCCTTATTTCCCCTCCATCTCTTCTATGATAGCCTCCATTCGGGCCCTTACTGCCTCTTTTCTGGATTATCCCAACGCCCCTGTCACTTGCCTCCCAGCCCCCGGGATCACCCAGTCTTTCTAGAATGACCCCAAATGGGTCTTCCCCAGCGAGGGGCCATCATGTCACTCTCCTGCTCAAAGTCAACAGGAACTTCTCGTTGCATCGAGAGTTTATGTGGACATCTTCATCGCAGCTGGGAAACCTCCATAGACTGGCCACCACCCTACCCTACACAGCCCACAGACAGAAAGACGGACTCACTGTGGCTGCACACATGCCCCTAGTTCACTCCTGGCACCCCCGCTTCTGTCTGTGCTCAGGTTAATATCGTAGCCTGACTGTCTGGAATTACCTACTATCTTTCCATCTGACTCAAAGGCTGGCAAAGCCCTGGCTCAAGCTCCCTCCTCCAAATATTTCCCAGTATTGTGATGCTTTACTCTTCCTCCTCTCCAAGGTATTTCATTTGCATTCATACTATCCTGCCTTGGGTTGGAGCTACTCAGTTCACACTGTTAGCTCCCTCAACTCTATAATCCTTGACGACCAGGGCCTATACCTGAGTCCCTCTCACGTGAGTACTTAGCACCAAGAAACTGTTGGAGCTGCATAAATGCCTAGTGAGTGGAAGGTGTTATTCATCACTTTCCTCTGATTCGTCCTCGCCTTTGCCCTGTGAGATGAGTATATCAGTATAATGACCTTGGTGCCACATATGGGCACAGGGAGGCCAAACACCTTGGCCTGCACCAGACACCAAGTGGTGGATCCATACAGAAGGCCAAGTTCAGTACAAAAGAAGCAAGGGTGGGCCTATCTCGGGTGGCCCACTCTGTGGTGGGGAAATACCCGAAGTGACTCTGACTCAGAATAACGTTACATGGTGAGGAAGAAATCCAGACCCTGTGTCCGGGTCCTGGTTTCATGATTTCTACCTGTATGACCCTGGGGAAGTTTCTCGACCTCTCTGAAGCAATTTCCTCACCTAATAATTTCGTGGAATGGCAGAGGATGAATTGGCACCAAATATCTCTCATCGAATCAGGCACATACTCATACATAGATAGAGCTTTGTTGTTAGGAAATTTGCACAAAGAGCGCTGGAAAACAACAGACTCAGATTTTTCTTTGGTGCCTGGGAAGAGTGGAGAGGAGTCCAAAGTACCATGCCAGGAACGGGGAGGAAAGGGAGAGGCTGAAAAAACATCCCCGGATCATCTGAGCACATTCCCAAGATACCAGGCCACCCATTAGCACTTGTCCCAAGCAGCGAGTCACTGTCCCTTCCTCCCCCATGCCCTGGGAAAGTGCACAGATTGAGTTCATTCCATGAGCTGCCACCGTCTCCTGTTCTCAGGCCCAGTCATGACCCTCACTAGCTACTTGATACTCAAAATGTCAGGGATCAGCCATGTTGAACGTGGACCCAGGGGCGTCTGGAGGCACCCAAGAGATGAGAGCCGTTTGCTAAGAAAGTGTTAGAGTCGGTGTCTGGGGGACATACCTACCCCGTCTTCTGCATCCATGGAAGTGTTAACTGAAGGCAAATGCAGTCATCCAAATAGAAGGCAGAAGACAGTCGGAAGTTAGCCTGGCCGATGTTTGATGTGCTGCCCCTTCACTTCCGGCTGCAATGCTTTGGGAAAACAATCTAAGCATTCAGCAATTCCCCTCCTTGTACTTGGAAAGTGACAGTAATGCCAGCTAGCGCCTGCGTGAGAATCGTGGCGACGATTAAATGAGATAATGCACAGAAAGTGCTGCCCGTGCTGCGTCGCACGTGGCAGGGGCTCACTTGGTTAGGAGGGCCGGGGAGGGTGGCAATTTGATCCCGACACAGGCTCCGTGGATGTGTTTATTCCCATTTCACAGCTGAATAACCTCAGACCCCAGAAGTTAAGTGTCTTGCTCAAGGTCACCTGGTCAGTACAGGGCAGATCCTTTGATTCAAGTTTCACTCCTTTTGTGCCCAGGATCCCAGTGAGTGATCCAGACGTCCTGAGGAGGAGAAGGTGGGACCGGAATGGACATTCTTCTTGGGAAATGAGAGGGTAAAGGAGAGCCAAACCAAGAACCGGCTGAGCCTAACAGCTAGGTAAACATTAAAACGCTCCAAACCCTTACACAGAACTGGGTAGGGGCACGCCTGCCAAAGTCTCTCTTCTCTGCCTGAAAGTGCCAACTTGAACAAGATGTAACTGCTTTCCCCCTGCTGGATTTGTACTCCTGGGGTCATTTAACTGATGGGAAGTCTTATTATATGGGAGCAGATGTGATCTTTCTTCTAGAAGGAGCCCAAAGTCTGCAGGGTTCAGCCTCAAAGGTAGGGAGTCCCCAGTCTTGCCCCCAGGACTATTTCAGGAGGGCCTGAGCTTCTGAAAAAGACCACCTCTCTGGGACGTCCATCTACAGGCCTTTGTCCTACCCCGGGTGAAATCCGCTCCATCAGAGCATCAAGGCAGTATTTATTGACCAACTTGCCCAAGGGCCAAAGGTCAGAAACTGCAGCTG